CAGGCTTGCAGACTAAGTGAGAGGTGTGGGCTCAGTACCTGTTGCGTGGCAGGCTCAGTACCGTGAGAGCTGGAGGCTCAGTACTGTGAGCTGCCAGTGGAGACCAGGCATGAGTCCCAATCCAGCATTCTTGCTCTAGCACTCTTTCCCAGATGCTTTCCCTGGCCAAAAGCTAATGAGCTTCTGGGAATGGATTGACAAGAAATAATGTTTAGCATATAAGTTCAAAGCTAGCCTGGGTAGGAAAGTCCGTGTGATTCTTTTTATCTCCAATTAACCAGCAAAAAGCCAGACATGCGGGTGTGGCTCAAGTGGTTGAGCACCAGTCTTGAGTGGAAAAAGTCAAGCGAGAGTGCGAGGCCATGGGTTCAAGACCCAACAAGGCTACTGTCAGTAATAGCATGCCTGCAACGTTTATGGGGAGCAGATCTCTTCCATTAAAACTCGCCTTTGTGAGGACACCTTCTGTCCTAAGAGCTGGTGGCTCTCGGCTGTGAATGTGGCTTTTCCTGACCCCAGCCTCGCCCGGTGCCCCAGGCCTCGTCCCAGGCTCCAGGCCTTACGCGCGCCCCAGGCCTGGCCCTGGACCCCAGGCCTCGCCCCACATCCCAGGCCTCGCCCCGAGCCCCAGCCCCACAGGCCTATCCGGGCGCCCTGCAGTGCCCGTTGCTTCCCCCGGGCACACAGCCACGCGGTGAGCTCAGGCACAGAGCTGACCGAGTCCCCGCGGGAAGCCGTTCATCCCCGCGCCCTCCATGCCCTGAGCTGCTGGCCCGGCTGGGATCAAGCAGGGGCGCGGACAGCCCTGCCTCCCCCAGCCAGGGTGGCACATTCCTTGTTCTGGAACATTCCTGATCTCAGGTCTAAAGGGTGGCCCAGGGGAGCCCTGTCTCTGCAGCGGAGTGGGTGCGAAGCCCAGGAGCCGTGGTTCGGACCGCTGTGGCTCTGCAGAGAGGACTTGGGTCTAGGCCGCAGCCTGCGGGGGTCCCCACCCATCCCGGTCCTCCCGGTCCTCTATCCCCACCTCACCATCGTCCTTCCTCCCCCCCTCCCCCCCCCCCCGCCTCCCCCGGGCTCACAACGCAGGGCACGAGCGCACCCCACATGCGCCAGGGGCCCGTGGCTCAGGCCAGTAATCCTAGCTACTCAGGAGGCTGAGATCTGAGGATCATGGTTCAAAGCCAGCCGGGGCAGGAAAGACCTTGAGACTCCTATCTCCAATAAACCACCAGAAAACCGGAAGTGGCGCTGTAGCTCAAGTGGTAGAGCGCTCGCCTTGAGCTGAAGAGCTGAGGGACAGCGCCCAGGCCCAGAGTTCAAGCCCCACAACCAACGCGCATGCGCACACACAAAGTAACACACAAAGTAACACTCTTACATTTAGGCTATGGATGATTAACATGAACACCTTAAAGAAAAGGCACGGTCAATACTGAACCAAATAACCATGACCACAATTACCAATGCGTGTTCAGGTTGGTATTTGGAGACATTTTTGTATGCTCTGAACTTCCAAGCACTTCAATAAACCCAGAGGTGGAGATTCACGTGTGTGTGTGTGTGTGTGTGAGAGAGAGAGAGAGAGAGAGAGAGAGAGAGAGGGAGAGAGAGAGAGCATATGAATGCAAAAACATGAATGAGTGTATGCATGTATCTGTGTATGTGAGTGCATGTTGTTATATGTATATGCATGTGTGTATGTGTATATATGTTAGTATATGTGCATATGTGTATGTTAGTATATAGAGATGTGTGTATGTGGTAGTACATGTGCATGTGTATATATGTGCAAATTTGCATGTGTGTATATGTTAGTATATATACATGCATGCACACATATACTGTGTACATATGTGTATATGGTAATATATGTGCATTGTGCATGTGTGTATAATGTATGTGTGCATATGTGCGTGTATCTGTTAGTATTCACACACATATGCACACGTATACTATGTGCATATGTGTATATGGTAGTATATGTGCATGTGTATATGATAATATATGCACATGTACGTATGATAGGAATCTGTTCATGTCTCAGGAGAAGAGTTAGTGATGCAGAACTTCTGTACTTCCCATGGCATGACTGTAAAGTGATCAACTTTGGGTCAGTGTTCTAGAAGGGATGAGGGAAGGATGCGGGTCCTACACTCCCTCTACACAAGGGGGTTCAGACTTCATCACCGCACTGGTGGACAAAGGGGAAGTCCCAGGCTGAGCCCACACCTGCCATGGCCCCGGGCAGGCGAGTGTGGTTCTGGTTCAGGGCTTGCTGGGCAACAACAGGAAAAAAGCCAGGATTCATCCAGGCATGCAGGCCTGCAGGCATCGCCGGGTCCAGAGGACTTCCCTCGCGGGTGGCCCCCAGCATGCCCTCGGGGCTCCTAGAGGACTAGCTGTGTTTTCCAATCCGCAGGATGGAATGGCCTCCTTTGTTATTTTCTTTTGGAAAGGAGTTGGGACAGCAGAGCTCCTCCTGCTGGGAGAGTTTATTTCAGTGCAAAGTGTTCTGAGTGGCCTTCGTGGACCTCAGTCCCACTATGTGCTGTCACTTGGGAGCATTAATGGGGGGCGGCCTTGGGCTCTCAGAAACCACCAGGGATATGGGCAATGGTTCCTGTTGGTCTTCCATGGGAAACCCGTGCATGGACATTTCCTGTACCAAGTGGACAGGAGCCAGGCTGGCTCACAAACACCCAGACTGGACAGCTTCGGCATTGAAGTGTGTGTGTGTGTGTGTGTGTGTGTGTGTGTGTGTGATCCACATACGTGGGGAAATGTGAGGTTTGGAGTGGGTAGCCAGGGCTGAGCCCTTGAACGTCCCACAGTCACTCTTAAAACAAGCCTGTGGGCCCACGGACTTCTCCAGCCACCTCTGTTCTCTGTGGAGTCTCTGCTTCCTTCCTGGAGTCACAGCTGTCCCGGCCCGGCCCGGCACCTATGGACATCCGCAGCAGCAGCAAGTAGTAGAGATGACACCTGTCCACCGAGCAGGGACACCGTTCCCTCCGCAAAGCAATCGGCATGGACATGGGGCCCCCAGAGATGCCTGTGCCCTACACCCACGGCCACTCAGACGCTGCAGGGTTTTCTGTCGAGTAATTTCACAAGATGTTGGGAGGAAATGCCCGCCTCCCTAGGGAGAAGGGGCACCTGCCCCTATGGACTGGGAACCCAACAGAAAGCTGAGCAGGGGTAAGGCGGGACCCCCAAAACGGGGGTGAGGCAGGGACCCTCACAGACGGGGGGGTCAGGGGAACCCCAACGATGCCGATAGATGTGGCCTGAGCCATTTTTCACTCAGCTCAAGAACAATCCACACGGGGAGGGGAGCTCGGGGCTGGGATTGGGGGAAGAGGGGTTCCCCATGGCCGACTGAGAAGGAAGCCAGCACCCCAGACTCCAGAGACCCATGGATAAAAAAACATACAGGCCTCAGATTTCAAGGGTGGTCAAGGAGGGTCTTTCTGTCCATGTGAACTTCAGACACATTCACGAACTCATAGATTGTGTCTGGTGAATTTGGTATCCCAAAGCAAGAAGATGTTCACTTCCTCCTTCTCCTCTTCCTTTCTTCCTTCTCTTCCTCCCACATCCCTTCTTCTTCATCCCTCCCTGCCTCTGTCTCTTTGTCTATCTTTGATTTCCTTGTCTCTAGAACAGAGATGCCACCTGACAAACGATCTGAACATCGAAGCAGCAGAATAACACAGGTGATAACAAGTTGGCTTTTTGCTAGTAGACCATTTTCATGACCACTGTGGAGGGGAGGCTGCCTCTACTGAACTTTACTTGGGAAGAGATCAAGTCCCTTTCAGGAAAGCCCAAAGTTCCCCGCCCCCATCCCCCCTGCCTCAGTCAGGGGCTGGCACACAGGGAGCAGACATTCGTCCTCATTCAGGGGAAACCTCGGCTCCTTTTCTGTGGGTCCTGGGGACAACTATGGAGAGTAGACAGAGAGTCTGGGAATAATCGGATACATCTCAGCACATCACTATTTCAGAGAACCTTTGTCATCTGATGTGTATAGAGGGTTTGGTGTTTCTCCATGCTTAGGAGAGATGTACGCTTAGACCTGCAGACTAAACTAACCCAGATAGTTACAAGAATTGCAATGGTATCATGCATTGGTTTTGTCTCCTATAAGGAAACAAAACAGGGCAACAATGTTCATGCCAGTCTGGCAGAGTATTTTGTCTTTTCCTCAGTAGACACCATTTTTTAAAGAAGGCTACTTTAAGCCTTTATGTGTCTACATTATCTCACATGAATAAGTGGAAAATAAAACCAAGCATTATTTTCAGTTTTTGACCCAGTCTGAGACCTTTGTTGAAAGAAGTAAACATTTTTAATGCTAAACATACGGTCCAATCGTATCTAGTGCTTCCTGTGTGACTCACTATAAATACCCACAAACAACCCCATACAACCACACATGCACACATATGTGCACATACATGTACAAGCATACACAGACAAGCACACATGTACACAGAGACACATACACAGAAGGCACACACAGTTACACATACATAAAACACATATATGCATCCACGCATCCACACAAACACACAATACAATGCATACATGTCTGCACACAGCCTAGCCAGACATTTCTTCTATTCTTGGAACTTATGAAAGATAAAGCAACCGGAGGCTGAGCAGGGACTGTACATTGATTACTAGCATATAGAAGAGTCTTTCCTGCCTTCTGCATGTCCACTTCCATGTTGCATGGGCAGAGGCCGAAGGCGGCCCCTACATGCTCCGTGCCCACACAGCTGACCACAGCAGCCTGATCACTGTCCTGCGACCACGTCGTGGATGCTGTGGTGCTGAAGGCCATTTGGGGTTCTCAGGGCTCTCTGAAGAAAGGTGTGGAAAACTACCAGCTGCGCTGCAAGGCTGCATGAGTTGGCAAATCTGCAGCATGAAGGAACAAGAAAAAAGACAGCCCCACGCCCAGGCTGCTGGACACAGCCGGCCCCGCCCCTTACCTGTGCAGATGAAGCTGGAGAGGCCTCCGTAGATGACTTCGTCATTATCGGGCAATATAAACGGACACCTCGTCTGGACCTCCAAACAGTATTGCTTGCAAGGAATTGTCTTTCTGCAGTTAAACTGTGTGACTTCAAAATACTGGGAACAGAGCCAGGCTTTGTAGACAATCTGCAAAACAATCAGAAAGACAAGAATCAAGAATACGGGATGATGACAGCTGACCTGCCCGAGACAAAGGACAGCAGTACTCAAGTGCATACGGGGAGAATCCCCATGGATAGCAGTTACAGAACAGCAGCTGTGGGGGAGAAAACAGAGCAAAGGGTGTCTGCTCTACAAGCCGAGCAGTGACTGAGCTTGTTGTAGAATGCCCGAGTATTCTGGCATCACCTTTAATGTAGCTCATGGGGTGAACGCAGGAACAGAGCTTTTTAGAATCCAGTGCTTATACAGGAAAAGACATAATGAATGACCCAGCTGCCAGACTGGTTATTTACTGCAGTGTGCTAGGTGCCTGGTAGTTCCTCTGCAGGCCACAAGATGGCGCTAAGGCCTTGCAGGATTCAGTCACAGCCCATTTAAGGCTGGCCTGTAGAGGCCCTGGGCCTCTCACAGCCAGTACTTAAAAATCTCATAGAAAGCCAGGAAGCCCCACGTAGACCACACAGAGCATGGACAGTGGGGTGACGGGAGGGAGCCCCCAGAACATCAGGCCCACCTTTCAGATGCCCTGTAATCCACACCAACACTGCTTGAGTATCTACGTGATTTAATGAAACATGAAAGAAGTATGACTTCATTTATCTTCTCTCCCTGCCTCTCTCTCTCTCTCTTTCTCCATGGCTAATGATTGGAAAGTTACTTAAATAATAGAAGCAATGACAAAAGTATCCCTCCATAAGTCAGGTCAGTGACATTCGGTCATTCCCCAGATCCACACACTGAAACTTTTCTTGATGATTCTAGGGTTCACACTAAGGTTAACCATCATGGCCTACTTTGAAGATGGGTGGTTTGAGCTCAACATACAGAGGGGATCTTAAGTTCTGGACAGCCATGGCTAGTATTTATCAGTCACACTCTTTCTTAAGCCACTTACAGAATTGCTCTTTGGATTCCCAGAATGCTCCTGCCTCTGTTCTGCTCAGCAAGAATGAGAAGTAAGGATACAGAGTGGAAAATAACTCATAGTTCTAAACCTGTATTCTGTGGTGTTCCACAGCCTGTCTTCTGAACAGTTATTCTACATTTAAACAGCAAACTTTTTTTTTCCTTCCTGGAATCCTAAGGGAGTTTGGGAAGATATGAGACCCATACAAAGATGGCTATTCATCAGCCATGCATCTAGGAGGGCTGCATTGAAGTTTTACTCAACATTTTCCTTGAGTTCAACATGAAGTTGTACTCATTGCTAACGCATATCATGGTTGGAGCAGACCCCTTTGCTTCTGGTTCAACCACACTTCCTGTGCAGGTTTAGTTTTTCATGCAAAGTACTAGTACAGGATTAAATTGGTCTATGTATTTCTTTATTTCCAAACCTTGGGTAGAAGGTGGAAAGGAAGCCTCAGAGCTGACAGCAGAGTTCACGATCTTCTGCTGGGCTACACCACCCTCTACAGTCAGTCCCTGCCGACACTCCTGTGCTGAGCATTGACTACCTGTCTAGGTGCAGTGAGAAGCTCTCTCTGAGTGCTGAGCTAAGTCCACTACTACACTGTAGTAGTGTTCTTTCTAGGCATAAGATATGTCAGAAAGTAAGGGGAAGAACCGTGTCATCCACAGCAAAATAAGAAAGACAGAGGAGGAATGTTTTCATTCACTTAAGAGATTGCAGTGGGGAAATATTTTTATACAGCTAAGGAGTCGTCTCTCCTCTGTATAGACGGGTTTGTGGCAGAAGCAGAGCAAGCGTACAGCTCAGCTGCTAAAACAGAGTGAACCAGCAAACATTGGCCTGTAAAGCAAGGAAACTCTTCAAACTTGGAAGAGATGACTGGAAAAGTAAAATAGGCTTTCAGTAAACATTTGAGAGCTGTTTTGCAACAAGCAGAGGAATACCTGGGACTATTGGTGCTTGGAGGGGAAGCAAGCTAAAAGTAAGGCACCCAGCCGCGGGGTACCAGGGGCATCACAATTGTGGTTTAAATGTGAAATCAGTACATAGACAGAGAATCAAGAGGTAACTGTAGGGGTGATATGAAAAAGAACTTTCTTGCCAAAATGAAGTAGAGCAATAAGACCAGTGATCTTCTGACATTTGGATAACTGACAGTCAGGACGTTGGTGGATTCCAGGGATGTTGAGGGAAATGAATGGCTCCAAGATATTTTCTCACATGTTTCTAGAAATTGCAGAGGGAGAAAACTGCACAAAGCTAAATCCATTCATGGTGGCATAAGGCTGAAGGAAAAAAGAACACTGATGGTTTGAAGGTGCTATGGGTTTTTCCAAAGTAAAGCAGGAAGGGTTTAGTTGTCTGGTTCCATAAGAGCACAGTCTCCAGAGTTTGGAGCTCTCTGGCATAATGGCTTGGGCCTCTCCTGAATAGAAAAGTATAGAAAAGGTTCTTTTAAAGGTATTTCCCTCAGTTTTTGGATTAATAGTTGTAGGAAGTATTCTGAAGCTACCATCTAAACAAGGAGCTGGCTAAATTACAAAGTCAGCTAAGCAAGAACAACTTATTGGGATCATGATTTTTCTCTTACCCCTCAAAGTATTGTTTTCCCCTAGAAAAATCCCTGAGATGCGTTTGGTAGACAATTTACACCCAAGGAAACTGGGTTATAGAAGTATGACACAGACAGGAAGTGGAATTCATCTCTGGATGGGGCAGGACGTGTTCATTGTGCCTGGAGCTCACAACCGGTAGGAGCCTTCCCAGAGAAGAGGACAAGAGGAGGGTTGGTGCTTGGGGTCCTGAGGCACAGCACCCCTGAAAAAGAAGTCCTCCTGGTCATCTAGCAGAGCCTCCTGCTTCTGCAATGGGACTGAGGCTTACGGAGGTTGGAGCGGATGGCTGGCACAGCTGTCTGAGGAGCCCCGCGTGAGGCTTCGGTGCGCATCGCTGATTCCCACCATGTCCTTTTGCTTTGTCTCCACATTCTGCTCATCACTTTATTTCAGAATGCCAAATGGACTCTATCTCCACACAGAAGCTGCACAGACTGCCCAGTGCCCTGGGCAGATATCCGGGGCCTCTCTACACTTGCTTGGGCTTGGGAGAGAGGGGGGCGGTCCACTGCTGTAGGTCACAGCAGGGTGGGAAAGGACCAGCTATCCAAGCCTGTCCAAGAGAGTGGCAATGCTGAACTCATGTCTACACCTTTCAGGAAGACTGGATTTTGTCCTAGAAAACGGAGTGTTCCAGAACACCGGCTGTACAGCACACTCTCAGAGGCAATCAGAAGGAGGCGGAGACAGGGGCGACGTGAGCCGTGGTGCTGACAGACAGAGCCCCCAGTGCGCTGAGGTGGTCAGCCGGAGGCCGGCACCGGACATGACCGTGGGAAGGCCCAGGAGGTGCCGGCAGCATTGTGAACATGCGTGGACACGCTGGGGAGCGGCAGCATGCTCGGATAGGCTCCTGTGCCTGCCACGTTTGACAACAGCGCGTCTGTGGAGAACTTGCCCCCCAAATCAGGAAATTCTTAGGATTAACCATCTCCAAAAAAATCAGGTTCTTGTTACTTTTAGAAACTTTCAGAGTTGCCTCCCTTCCTGTCATCTAGGTAATGGTTGGGCACTCGATGGTAGATGTCAATTGTAGATATAGGTTAGCCTGCCTGGGGAAAAAGATAGTATGGTGGCTATGGTTTATTATTATTTTTTAATTACCCAGAAAAATGCCAGATATGCAAAAATGGTAGTCACTAGGTATCGATGGCTCACTCCTGTACTTCTAGCTACACAGGAGATCAGAAGACCGAAGTTTGAAGCTAACCTGGGCAGAAAAGCCCATACAGCTCTATCTCCAAAATAACCAGCAAAAAGGTGGATGGGAAGTGTGGTGCAAAAGGTACAGGGCCAGCCTGTGTAAGCAAGCTGAGTAAGGATGAGGCCCAGAGTTCATTCTCTGATGCTGGTAACAATGGGGACTCTGCCTGTCATCTCAGGTTAAGAGTGTGCTTTTTCCTGGGCCCTATACATTATTCTTAAGGAGTTTCCTCTCTCCTCTGTCACATCTGTTGATACATTTTATTGGATCCATTTCTGTCCACTCTGCGGCTCCAGTGGCTGCATGTGGGGGTGGAGATAATTGGCTTTGGGAGCTTCGGTCAGCAAGAGCAACTGCCTAGGGCAGCTCTCTTGGGTGTCTAATGCATGTGGTTATAGCTGTAAGTGGGTGTGAAACTCAAAATAAAAGCCCACACTCATGCGTCTGGATGTCTGTATTAGTGTCAATATCCAGTGAATGCACACTGCAAATTGAATGACAGCAGCCATCTATCCTGCAGGAAAAGCAAGAGGACATAGCACTGTCTGAGGTTGAGTCAGGTCTGCAGGACCAGTTGCAGGGCTGGGCGGCTGAGCCCAGGCTCCTGCCCGGAGAGTCCAGGAGACACATGCCTGCAGAGCATCCTCACTTCCTTGTTACTTCCTGTACTTCCTGAAGCCCAAGGGATGGCTTCCTGCTTCCTGTCTGGGCCACTTTCCCCATCCTGTTACTACTCCTGGGCCATGCTTTTGCTCTTCAGAAGTTGCCTACATTTCCAAGTCTACCCAAACCCTTCCCAGCACCAGGCTGACTAGCCGTGGTACCTGCTGCCTTTAGAATCCCACGATTGGTTCACACAGGAGACAGAATCTTCTGGAAATTTTGGGCTGGACTATTCCCAGCCTGCTAACTAGGGTGTGATCATATCAGGGCTAGCTACAGACACAAAGCAAGTCCACCCCTCTGTGTTTTTCTGAGTTAGAAAGTTCAGGTCTCTGCATGACCTGTACATCCAGGACAAAAGGGAAATCAGGACTTCACCAGAGATTAAATGCCCGCATTATGGCGCAAAGCCGATGTATCTACTCCTGTCCTGCTCATCCTCCTTTCTCATTTCTTTACTCTTCACCTCACTTTGATGTTGTTCATCCTGCTCTATCTGCTGACCGGCCCAGCTGCTGAAATCACTCATTTCTTGCTGACTTCTTGCAATCATGCTTCCTTGCTTGGC